GAATTTGGCGATGTGCTTCCAAAATTCAGCAGTACTACATTGATGGCAGAGACCATTTTCTTTTGATTCAAAACAAGGCAAGCAGGTAGGCCAAACCTTGTTTTTATAGGAGAATTGTGTACCATAAAACCTCTGGGAAACAAGTTTTTCTTCCAACCAGGACACAAGTTTTCAGCATACTTTATTTTACAACGAATGTGCATTTTTGAAACAACCACAGCCGCACAGCAGTGTTGTTTCTTAAAACTTTGGTCACCGAGTTTCAGCAGCACACAAAGCCGTGGCTAGGGTACAACACCCAATGGATTATGGGAAGGGTCGGTCTGAAACCAGCTGAAATTGTCCTCCCTCCTTTAGCATTTTGATGGCGAAAGTGAAGCAAAGAGGAGGTGTTTAACCTAATGTCATGAGATTTAGGCCTTCAAACAGGAGGTGAAAGCTATGAACTCAGGACAGGGTGCCTGGCATGCTAGGCATGGAGCTTAGCAATGCTTTGCAAAGACAAAAGTGAGACAAAAGTGGCACATGAAGCATCAAATTCATTGTCAGGCCAAGATGAGTTTTTGCTGAAAGTGAAAGACAAGATGTCTGTAATGTTACATGTGAGAACCCAGCTGGATTTGCCGCCACATTTTACTTCAGTGGTGGATGCCCCACCACACTTGAGGGCAACTGGCTTGAGGCGTACCTAGAGGTCTGTTCTCACAGTGCGCTGCCTCTTCCTGTCACTAGGATCCACCTCCTGAGGCAGCAGGGCCCTACAAGAGGGGGCCCCAGCAGGACTCTTTGGCCTAGGGTTCACCTCACAAAAGGGGTGGGTCGCCTCAGCCAAGGTGTAAGGTCCTTCACTTTAACTCTAAAGTGCCCAAGTATATAAATCCTTTGAGGTTTTTTTTAAAGCATGCCATTCTTTACGTTAAAATATTTCTTGCCCTCTTTCTAAACATTGATGGGGGCTCACAGTGTGAAATCGCCTGGGCTTCGTGAGAGCCCTCAGAGGGCCTGGAGACTGCTGCTTCACTCTGTCTAATGTTGTGATTAGCCCTGGTAGAGCCTGATAGATAAGAAGTAGAAGCCTCAAGCAAAAATAAATTCAAGCCAAGGTGCTTTTGTGATATGTGAATGTCCCACAATCTAATATTTTTTCTCACAATCTCTTTCTCTGTCTCTCTCATTTTGAAAGGTGGGGGAAAGTAGGATCCTCCAGATGCAGTTGGACTACAGTTACCATCAGCCTCAGCCAGCAAAGGGAGGGAATGCTGGGAGGTGCAGTCCACCAACATCTGGAGGGCCACACTTTGTCCACCCTCAGTCTCTTTGAGTGGAGACAGAAACAGCCCAAGGAAAATATTTTCATGATAAAACTTGTTTCTTTTTCCGGGCATGGACACAGATTCAACTAAGGCAAACGTTGACAAACGTGTCAAATCACAATACTTGATGACCCCAGTCAAGGCTGGCAGATGAGCAGCACCAACAATATCTGCCACTTTTCTGAGTTTTTAGTTTCATGCTGCATTTATCACTTACAAATCCTCTAGTTTAAAAATTAGCTGCCTTTGCTCTGTGTGAGCAATCACATTTTTAAAATGTCACTGACTTCACAGTCGTCAGTCCACAGATAATGTGGTATGTTAATTGTTGTAGACATCTGTCCTTAATAGGGCTTGTCCTGATTCTCTCAAGTTGACAATTATTTCTGTTGACAGTAAATTATGACCATTCCTTTCTTGATTCTTAGTAAAAGAAACACAGAGAAGAATTGAGGCATCTAACAAGAATGTTAGAATTAGTGCTGGATCCAGTTTTTACCCACAAAAATCTGGGACTTTTTTCTCCCATACTGCACTATGACGAAACCACTACATTTCACAGACTGAGTAGCATATTTTCTGTTACAGAGAACTGAGTCCAGTTCTGAATGCCATCACTTTAAAATGAACGCTGTGTCCACACAGGGCTTGGGAACACTGTTTTTCACACTGGATTTTGCCACATAGCCAGTCAACTGGACATAATGTTTGGTGCATTCTGAAAGCTGTTGTCTGAAGAATAATGTTTCCAGTTTATTTTCAAAGGGATGCTGCAGATAATTTTTTTTAAAAAATGGAGTACAAGAAATATGACTCTATAGACAAACTGGGAAAAAGAAGGACAAGATTGAGACATGTCCTATGAAGAAAAACTGAGGACAATATCCTGGAGATATTTTTAGCCTGGAGAGCAGAAGACCAAGGGAGACAGGATAGCACTCTTCATATATCCCTGAAGGGCTGTCACATAGAATTTAGCAGAAGCTGCTTTTTCTGGAGGATTCCCTATAAGAGTCACCCTCAAAGGCTGCCTTCAAGCAAAGGCTAGACGACCATATTTTGGGGCTGTTTGAGCTCCGTATTTTCTCTGTTGAGTAGGAAGTTGCAATAGATGGCCTAAAATAACCCCTATGCCACTATGATTCAACGAACAGACTCGCTTTTACAATTCAAGCCAAGCAAAGGTGGGAGGTTTATTTTAATGATGACAAATGAGGTTCTTATGCTCTGCCAAAATTCCCTTGAAAACCTGTGGCTTTAAGGCTTGTCCCCAAAATTCTACCAAGAGCTATTCACTTTCTCTGTGACAGGCATTTCAATCAAACTAGACAAGTGACTTTCCTTGGTCATCATCAGTAAAAAGACTCATCAGACGTTATCACAGGTAGCCTCAAATTCTAAACATTTCCAGGAAGTAATTTTGTTTGTTTGCTTCTGGGAAATCTTAATTTTGCCTAAGACTGAAAGGATAAGTCCTGTTAGCTGAAGATTCTCATTCTCTTATCATGTAAGGAAGAAGGACATGGAAAGCGGTTTCTGCATGTACAGCTAATGTTAATTTTGTTACTGAAGATGACTTCAGTCCAAAAGCCTATTTGAGTTAATACAAACTAATGGATGGACTGTATTGTTTCATATTAGCCTTCTTGACCTCTGAAAATTTTTCAGGGAGACTCTTTCCTATCATCTTCTAAGGTGTGTCTGTTGGAGACGAGAAAAGCAGTTTCTTGCATCACCAATAGATATGCTTCAGAAGGAGCTGGTAATGACAAAGCTTTCTTGGGTAGCTGCTCCCTAGCTTTTGAATTCCCTACTGATTGAGCCTAGGTTGTCTCCCTCCCAGTTGCCTTAGCATCATCACTCTCCTTTTGTTAGGCACCTCTTTGGCAATGGAGGATGGGAAAGGATATTCACATGTTCTCACCAATTTAGTTGCCTTGGCCCTTGACATACAAGGCACCTCAACAAGGAATTTTAGAGGTTTGTGAGGTTCCCTCCCTTGATGCTGAAGGCAGGACAGAAAGGTTTGTTTTAACTTTCAGAGTCACTGTATTTTTGTAAAATGTCTTCATGTTATGTTTTAAGAGACACAAGAGAGACACGAGGGCAAGACAGAAAGGTTTGTTTTAACTTCCAGAGTCACTGTATTTTTGTAAAATATCTTCATGTTGTTATGTTTTAAGAGACACAAGAGAGACAGGTGAAAAGTACCCCCCCCTTGAGCAAAGTTCATAACTTGCTGAAGCTCAATTGACCTGGCTTTGATAGATGTTAGGTTGGACTAGAAAACCCAACAAAGAAGCACACCCACCCACCCGCACACCCCACAGAACATTGCTTTGAACCCAGTGAAAGGAGAGAAAAGCATAAAAATAATAAGAGCAACATTCCTTCTAAACTGTACGGATGCGCAGTGCTGCATTGGAGACACACGGCTGACCCAGTGTTTCTACCTATTTGCTTCTGGATATGGGTGGAATTCCACATGCAAGGGGGAAGCCCCTGTGCAGCATTCCAGAAAATTAGAGGGAGTGTCACTTAAGAGCCAGTGCATTGTTTAGAGAGTTGGATTGGGACTTTAGGAGTTTAAAATTCTAGTCTTCCCTTTAACTAGTAGAACTCACTGAGTTCTACTCTTCAGAGAACTATTCAGTCATGCTCTCTCAACTCACCTTACTCATCAAGCTGCTGTTGTGAAGATAAAGTGGTGGAGAGGGAGACGAAGGGCAGGATATAAATGTAACATACATGCCAATTATAAAGTATAACCAATACATGGAGGTTAAATAAAGGTTACAGTTGGATGCATTTGGCATTCAGATGCAGCCAAAGCAATGCAAAACATGTGTCTCTTGAAAAAGACACATAGATATTTCAAGATGGCTAGTCGTTTCCTCCTTATGTTAAATCTGGTTTTGTAAGCAGATCTCCCCAAGCCAAAACACAGCCAGAGGTTGCGTTCCAGCACAATGTGTTTAAAGTCAGCCCGTCAGAAATGCATAACTGTATGCGCTTGAGCCGTGGACTCAGCAAAGGGTGAGTTAAGGTCTTCAGCCTATGGAGCTGCTGTATCTATAAAAAAAAAAGCTTGAACACCCATGCAAAATTGCTGGCGATCAAAGAGCAGTGCCTGTGAATAGGAGTTTGTTTGTGAGTAAGTCCCAATTGCAATCCACATTTCATAGCAGGAAAAGAGGAAGCTGTTTCAATTTGTCTGAGAAAACAGAACAAAATGGTGTTCAGCTGGGAAGAGAATAATAGTCACTCCTAGCCCATCTCAAATAGCTCTCAATACTGGTAGAGATGACGAGGGGGAAAGCGTGTGTGAAAAAGCAGTTGTTCTGTTTCAGAGCGAATGGGGCAAAAAAGATTTTAACCCAGGGTGCTGAAATTTAGAGCCCTCCCCTGGAAGGGCACAAACCCACCTGTTCTGAGTATATATAGTGCCTTCAACTACTCCTTCCAGAGGAAAAAGAGAGCACAAAACAGATGGGCTCAGCATGGAACCAATATTGATGTCACATCCTCAGCCCCAGGTGTTCATCTACATTCCTCTCTCCTCTCCCGATATATATGCAGCCCTCCTGTGGCACAAACTTAGTCAACATGTCAGCAAAGCCACATATACCCACACGGCTCGTTACAGCTCTGGGTCTCCTTTAAGCAAAAAGTATTGATCATGCTTACCTCGGTTCCACCTGGGAGGCACAGTAGCATGCGCATTGTAATATAACAACAGCAACAGCACCGATTTCCAGTGCATCCTCGGTTTTCTGCCAAATGAAGGGGTATCTATAGATTAGGCCTTTCCTTTCAACCTTCTGTGAATGTCTGGAGCAGATGGTGATTTTTTTTTTAAAGACTTCTTGCAAAGAACAATTTTTCTGACAAAGTTCAGTAGCAGCACCTTGCCTTTCAACCTAGTCTCTTTGGGATCAGGGAATTCCTTTTGCACAGACAGACTCTGTTTTATATCCACATCTGGAATGACTCATGATGCATGTGAGCCTGCTGGCAGCTATGAGGTTATAAATATCATTACTTCCCTCCACCCCACCCCTTTAGTTCAGTTCCATTGTAGCTCAGCCAGTTGGAATATCCCAGTGTCAACAGACACCAGTAGCTATACTAAAGAACATTATTAAACCTTTAGGGTGGTATGGTCCTATGGCTCAGAAGCATGCCTTCATGATAAAAGTACGGTTGTGCTTGCTGAATGATGCTGGAACATTTCTTGGATGCATCGATGAGGGAGTAGAACACACTTGCTGAGAGAATGTTCTGTGCTTTACAGTGACCAATTGTCTTACAGAAAACACGAAAAGAAAAAGAAGTTGTACATGAGGTCTAGGTTGGGTGGAAAGTGTGCAGAAATGAACCATTGACTGGCATAGAGTTGCTTGGAAAACAATATTTAAAAGCAAACCAGACACATTTATAGAAGAGGCTACCGGCCATTACTGTGTTGTTATTCTCAATGCAAGCAGCTTGAAGAACAGGAACAAACTCACTAAATCACTTTTATATTTCATCAGATGGGCCATATTTAACCAAATGCCTCTTTCCCCCCCATGGAATTTAACTGGCTTTTAAATTGGCCTAGACAGCCATGGCTCTTATGTCCATTTAGAGAAATCTTTTTAAGCATATGGGAACTGCTTTGGTGAATCGTATAGGAAGTTGTAGGCATTTCACAAAACTGTAGTATGTTTATTTACCCATAGTAAAAGTCAGATTTTGAACATAATGAGCATAGCATAGTCTCAAATTATCCTCACAACATTTTAGTTTACATATCAAGCAGTTCTTATGATTATATTCAGAAATGGGCATGAACTGCTGGTTTGATGGTTGCTGCCAGTTTGGCCACGCAGCTGTTCTGCAGGCAACCCAGCTTCCCGTCCTTGCCTCCTCAGTTAGCTGCCCACTCAGAGATAGTGTGAAGCCATGCCGCTGCCTCTGAGTGGGTGTATGCTGGAGGAGGCAGGGCTGGGAAGCTGCATTGCTGGCCTTTGAGAGGCGAAAAGCCCAGGACACCCACAGAACGACTGTGCCGCTGGAGGGCTGAACCGGCATGAACCGCCAAACCATGGTTCATGCCCATCTCTGATTGTACTGAGTCCTACAAGAACATCTGCCTCATTATGCAAAACCTGTGATGTAAAGGTGCATGATCCCTTTACCTGAGGGACTGTACATAATTAAATGGTGGTTCAACCCTCTCCTCCCCTGCTCATGAGGAGGAGATGCTTAACTACTGTTCCCTAACATGGTCATCCACCAAATTGTGGTTTTGTTAAACGTTTGGATCCAAAATCAGTTTTGACCCCTGCTAAGTTTTGCTACTCATAATTTAGAGCAGTTGTTTCAGTCTTAAGTACTAGATGCTTTTGGATGCCTGTTACCGTAGTATCAGTCCTGACCAATGGTTCTGCTATCTGGAGATGACAGGCACTGTAGTTCAACATCTGGTAAAATCTCAAGTAGGATCCAGTGGTTGTAATAAAGCTCAGTTTCCCAGTTCAGATATTATAACACTGCAATGTATCCCTTCTTTATAGGCTCAGAAAAGAAGACGGGAAAATACGTGAGCCCAAATCTAATCACAGTGCATTCATTGATCTGTAAGCCATGGCTCTCCATTTTGTCTTAACTGGTGTGAACGCAAGCAAAATCTGTTAAACTCTGATGTGCCAAATTGGTGGCTGAATTCTTCTTCTTCTTCTTCTTCTTCTTCTTCTTCTTCTTCTTGGCCTCCACATATTTTCTGGTTCAGGGAATATTAGCTGTTGCAATAGAAGTACTGGCTGATTGGCTACACCTTACCCTTGTCTTCAGGAAACTTCCAGGCACATGTTGTGCACGTAGCTTGAGCAGTGTTGGCAACTGCCTCGAAACAGGGCAAAAACCATCTTTGGGCCAAAAGCTCATTTGGAAACACCCTATATGAAAGGGCCTTTAGTCTTTCAGTAGAGCAGTTGCTTGGCTACTCTGCTTAGCATACAGTTTCATGGGGTGGTTCTATTTAGGGAATCCTCCATGAGGTGTGTGCATTTTAATGAAGAAAACGCAGCACTGGAAGTAAGGCGTTGTAATTGCTAAAAATACCGTAAGGAAAATGTTTCCCTTAGTATGTTGCCAGTGGAAACATAGCTATGCGAATGAATAAATAGTCCCAGAAAGCCAGGTGACGTTAATGCAGGAGATTCCACATCACACCCATAAACCAGTGTCTTTTAGGAACCATGAGGTTAAAACCACAGAAAATGTTTGAAGGAGCATCATTCAGGTCCATCACTGAAGCTTGTCTAGTTGGGAACTGTAAGTTTCCTAGATGTCATTTTGAGTCCTTTTGGGTATAGATACTCAGAATCTGGAAGAATACATTTTGTTTCTGGGCTATGGGCCCCATAATCATCCTGCCAGTGACCAGTAGACTATTATCTATTACAGTTGGTAGCAACTGCAAGGTCCTAAACAGAACAGTTTCCTCTTCTGATATTTCACAAATATCAACAGATTTTCTGCTTGCCAAATGTACGTTCCACCATGAAGCTCCTTCCTTTCCTCCTAGGCTCCCTCAAGTTCCTTCTGAGAAAACCAAAATCATCCTCTTCCCTCATTGTGTTTCAGAAGTGGATGTAATGTCTCTGCATGTCAGAACCAGTAGGTACTTACAGGGTTATTGGTCTTCGGTGAATTTCATTTCCAGTTCATTTTCTCAGGCCAATATGCCATCTTCAGTCCCAGCTGGTTCCAACTGATGTGTCTGTTCTCTGAATGCACTGTCAATTCTTTTTCTTGAATAAAAACAATGGCCTCTCATGTTTTTTCCATGTCTTCTGACCCAAATACAACTCATCACGCAGATCACTACTGCACAAACAGGTATTAATTCTCATCCATGTATCGTCATTCAGGATCACACTAAACCATGTTTTTTGTATCTTAAGCTTAGACAAACAGTAGCTAGCAGCTCTTTGAAATTCTTTAATTCCTCTGTTGCCCTTTAATTGCCAACTATATACTCTATGGGTGTATTGATGTGCCTGGAAAGCATTTAATAGTATTGGCAATTGCACTGAAGAATGTACTTTCTAAATTAAGGCTGACAGTCACTTGGAGGCTGGTGATAAAATCCTGAAATCCTCAAGAGGCATTCTTGAGCTGTTTAGTGTAGCGGACCAAGCTTAGAACCTTGGCATTCCATCCATATATCTAAACTCTTTCCCAGATGCTTGGAATCTGGAAGCCCTCCTGCATGTTGACCATGTTATAGAAGCAAGATAACATACGTTTAGCTGGAAAGCCTGATAGATTTCATTAGGAAGAACAGATTTCTTAATGTGTTATTTTTCTTGTTGCTGCTGCTGTTGGTGTTTCACAAGCTGAAACATCACAGATTTGTGGTGACATCCTACAAAGGGAGGTATAGAATTCCATAGCACGAAACCAATGTAACAAATCTATGCATTTCATTCTTTGGACTGCTTTGTGCTAGGTAGAGATGGGCACGAAGCACTTCATAGTGTTTTGTATGAATCTCTCCACACAGCACCACAGGTGTTGTGTGGGGCCATCTCCCACTCCCTGGCTGGCCAGGCTACTTAGCCTTCTTTGTGTGCCACTGGGGACCTCCTTCTCCAGCAGCATGCCAATCCAGGCAGAAGCTCAGGCTGCCCTTCCCTGCCTCCTCAGGCAGCCGGCCACTCGTTGGCTGTGTGGGGAGAATCTCCTGTCACATGTCTTCATCAGTTGCCTGAAGAGGCAGGCATGGACAAGATAAACTTCTGTCCAGAATGGTGTACTGCTGGAGAAGAAGAAGATCCCTGGGGGTGAGTAGCCCAGCTGGCCAGGGCGAGTGGGAGATGGGCTCACACAGCACCTGTGGTGCCACATGGAGAGATTCGTATGAAGCACTATGAAGCACTTCATGCTCATCTCCAGTACTATGTGCGAATGAGAAAATTCCTTGAACTTCCATATAAGACTAGGTGTAGAATAGCATAAGACACACAAGACTGGAACTCAGAGCTTGTGAATGTAACTTTCTGGGCTACAATTGCCTGAATCCCACTCCAGCAACTTTGCCAGGTTGGAGATACAGTATTTAAAAATATGGTCCAGAAAAATAACTATTCCAAACTCTGCCCAAACACCATCAGTTTTAGTTTTCTCCCACATTCTTTTTTTTTAAAGCACCATCATTTCTCTACCCCAAATATGAAGACATTAGCAAAGTTTGAAAAAATTTACTTACCAGAAATGAAATGAACTGCAATCCCTATAGGATACATCCAGCTTAAGCTGGCATGAGTCTAAATTAATACTTGAAACACCTTTTCTACAGAGTGTCTGAGATGAGAGCTAAAATAATTCAAAGCAAATCTCGAGCATGAAAAGAAGGTGAAGAAAAGGTGAGAGAAGTCAAAGCAGCTGTCCCGTGGTCTGCTTGTGATGCAAAAGAACATCTTCAACTTTCCTTGTAAGAAAGACATCAAACCAGATGATTAGGGGAACGATGATTCACTCCCACAATGGGGTTTCCTAAGAGACGTGAATTGATGCTTTTGAACTGTGGTGCTGAAGGAGACTCTTGAGAGTCCCCTGGACTGCAAAGAGAACAAACCTATCCATTTTGAGGGAAATCAATCCTGAGTGTTCACTGGAAGGACAGATCCTGAAACTGAGGTTCCAATACTTTGGCCATCTCATGAGAAGAGAAGACTCCCTGGAAAAGACCTTGATGTTGGGAAAGTGTGAAGGCAAGAGGAGAAGAGGATGACAGAGGACAAGATGCTTGGACAGCGTCATCGAGGCAACCAATATGAATTTGACCTAACTCTGGGAGGCAGTGGAAGACAGGAGGGCCTGGTGTGCTCTGGTCCGTGGGGTCACAAAGAGTCGGACACGACTTAACAACTAAACAACATCAAGAGACATGAGCCTTGGGAATCAACTTGTAAATTAGACTTGCTTACTTTC